TACACCAAATTTATCATTCTGTGATACTTACGTACTCACTTATTACAATTTTCATACATGCACTACCGTAATCGTAACGTAAAAATAAAAATGGCTGCCATTTCAAGGGGGATGAGGTAAGACATTGTAGGGGGGGTGAATTTGTCGATAAAAATAGCAGAAAAGTGCCGCTCCTAATATCGGTATGTCGTGACCAAACACATTGTATGTGGATGATCTTATAATGGCATATGTCATTGCTGCTTTAACAAATAGGTGACTATTTATTTGTCAAAACAGCAAAAATATGTTGATATCACATGGCGTTATGAAATCCTCTATATATCTTTAGAAATGCCCGCTATAAAATTATGCAACAGTCGGAAATTTATGCAAAGAGCCGGCAATGCCGCATACGTCGTGTGTGCTCAATCTGGCAACCATGGTCATCTAGAAAAAATGGCAATTGACACTGACATAAATCAACAATAATCAAATTCAAGCGGATAACCAAATGGAAATGGTATTTACCACTTTGGGTTGGTATTTACCGATCCGTTCAAGAGTGCGTGGTTATCAGTTTGGTTATAAGATCCGTGACGACATGAAACAGCTGTTATATGTCATAGTTATCACCGCAAAATTGTGGTATTTACCCAACTCAGGAGTAGTTTTATATTTCTGGTTATTATTTGAAATGTGACAAGTTAGAATGTTGCCGGGTATTGGATATTGTTATTGTCCTTCAGCTTCATTTTTGGGAAACTTGATACAGATTGACTTTAGTTTTACCATAAAGTAGAGCACCTTATTAGTTATTTTCATTACTGTTGTTGGGGACACTTTAAATGTAGTTCCTATGCTTAACAAAGTATCCTGTGTAGCCATATACCACAAGAATATTAAAATATGGCCATATAAACTCACTAGATGATATCCACGTGTATACGGTTTTGCTAATTTCTTTTTTCATCATTTCTGCTGAATCAATAAATGTTTTCTTTGACATGCGGAAAACTTTAGAGAATTGAAAGTTGTCATAGCTACAAAGCCATGGTTCCATCATTAAAAAAAATTCTGAAAAAAAACATTTCTCCCATGAATATTATTAATCAAATCTAAGCTCTGTGTTATGTACCGCGGTTATAATATGGTTTAAGATGACACACGGGTTGATGACGACAGTTACTCGAATCGCTTGAACGCGCTGGTTTTAACCGCGGTTTTGTTGCAAGTTGTTTATTTTAGAAAAGCGCGTATATAATTTCTGATTATTTTTATTATACTTAATAATCGGTGCTTTTTCGTCTATAAAAGTGTATGGAAAGATTAGAAAAGAAACCTTTCATAATATTAATGTTTTTTTTTTGATGGAACCATGGCTTTCTAACTATGATAACTTTCAATTCTCTAAACTTTTCCGCATCTCAAAGAAAACATTTATTGATTTAGCAGAAATGATACGAAAAAAGATATTAGCAAAACCGTTGCAGGTGGACATTATCCAGTGAGTTTATATGGCCATATTTTAATATTCTTGTGGTATATGGCTACACAGGATACTTTGTTAAGCATAGGAACTAGATTTAAAGTGTCCCCAACAACCGTAATGAGTATTACTAATAAGGTGCTCCACTTTATGGTAAAACTGAAGTCAGCCTGTATCAATTTTCTCAAAAATGAAGCTGAAGTACAGTAACAATATCCAATACCCGGCAAAATTCTAACTTGTCACATTTCAAATAATAACCAGAAATATAAAACTAATCTGGACTTGGGTAAATACCACAATTTTGCAGTGATAACTATGACATATAACAGCTGATTCATGACGTCACGGATCTTATAACCAAACTGATAACCACACTCGCTTGAACGGATCGGTAAATACCAATCCAAAATGGTAAATACTATTTTCATTTGGTTATTCGCTTGAATTTGATTATTATGAAAGGTTTCTTATTTAAACTTTCCATACACAGTTGTAGACCAAAAAGCACCGCTTATTAAGTGATAATAAAAATAATCAGAGATTTTTTTTTTTTTTTATATCGAAACAGCCGCGCAGGCAGAAGCCTAAATGCCGGAACACCGCGGCTGCTATGATGATCCAAAAGAAATTTTGTTAATACGACCTTTGAACTGCCTAAGGTTAGTAGAACTGGGAAAAGCTTCCTCCCGTAGATTGTTCCACAATCTAGACACCCTCGGGACAAAGGAGCGGTCGTATCGGCCAGTTCTGGATGTACGAAGTTTGACACGGTTAGGATGGGACGCCGAAGTCAGGCGGGTCTGTCTGGCAGGCACATCGCGCGGCGGCATCATGGAAGAGAGCTCTGAGGAGCAAAGTCCGTTGGTGTAGCGATAGAAAAGAGCTAGATCGCCGACGGCCCGCCGGTGCGAAAGAATCCCGAGACTGTCTGTTAGAGAAGAGTCATCGATCAGTCGGACCGCCCTCCTCTGGACAGCATCGAGCATGGACAATGTAGTCGGGGCGGCAGCACCCCAAATGTGTGAGCAATACTCGAGGCTAGGCCTTATCTGGGCCTTGTATAGAGTGAGAAGGTCATGCGGAGAAAAGTACTTCTTAGCCCTAAACAAATAGCCTAGCTTTTTCCCAGCAGCTGCAGCTATTGAAGAGATGTGTTCGTGCCAGATCAGGTCCTCGGTGATCTGGACTCCGACCAGCCGAAATGAATGGCTCTTTGGTAGAACTCGACCGTCCATCGAAACTGTATGAGCGCTAGGACGCTTTTTGTTCGTCAAAGTACAGTACTGTGTTTTGGAAGCATTGAACTGTACAAGATTGTTGCGTCCCCAAGCAGTGATAGCCTCCAGGTCTCTTGTCAGAGAAGAAGTCGTCGCTAGTCTTCTTTTTTCCAGCTCAGCGGCAGAGATCGGCTTGTCACTCTGAATCCCTGCATGCAGAGTGCTGTCATCAGCGAATCTGTGGATTGGGTTGATCGTGCAGGAAAGGAGGTCGTTGATATGTAAGAGAAACAGTGTTGGATCCAAGACCGACCCCTGGGAACACCCGCGTTGACGTTGTGGGATGAAGAGGAGAATCCGTCAATTACGACGGATATCTTGCGGCCAGAGATAAAGTCAGCCACCCATCTGCAAAGCTTTTCTGGGAGGCCGTAGGATGGAAGTTTGCTAGGAGCTAGGAGGTCCCCTGTGGATCGTTGGTGCCGGAAACCGTACTGCCTGTCGCTAATCAAGCTGTGACGTTCGAGGTAGTCTAGAAGCTCGCGATTTATGCACCTCTCCATCACGTTACTTATAACAGAAAGCAGAGCTATAGGCCTGTAGTTGTAAGGGTCGGTTTTAGATCCTTTTTTTGGGATGGGCTGTACATGAGCAAATTTCCAGTTCTCTGCGAAGGTGCCGGATTCATAAGATATCTGGAAGAGACGCGAAAGAACTGGAGCAAGCTCCGCTGCACATCTCTTCAGTACAAAGGCAGGAATCAAGTCCGGACTAGAAGCTTTGTTGATGTCGAGCGACAAGAGCACTCGTCTTACGGTCTTATGCCTGAATGTTACCTCCCGCATAGTGTGGGGAACCCTTTGAATTGACGGCACTTGGGCGTTGGTAGGGACGTCCATGGTGGAGTTGGCAGCAAAGATCTTGGCTAGCACTTCCGCCTTGGCCTTTGAGTCGAATACAATAGTTCCATCCTGACATGTAAGTGGTGGAAGGCTACTGTGTGAGAAGTTCTTTTCAATCTGCTTGGCCAGCGTCCAGAAAGACCGACTGCCATTGCGCTGCGACATTACCCTGTGCCTAACTGTTATATCATGCTGGTTTTTGGCATTGCGAACCGCTTCGTTATATTTGTTTCTGGACTCGACGTCGTATTGTCTGTTCTCTACAGTGGGGTTTTGTAAGTAGGATCTGTGGGCCTTGATCTTCTGCTGGCGAGCAGTGTCACACGATTTGTTAAACAAGCCGTTGGATCCTGGTTTAGGAACTTTCACTGTGTGAGGGATGTATTCCTCCATTCCGACGTGGATAATTTCGGTTATTGAAGAACAGACAGTCGACGCATCCGCGTTAGTGAAACAGACATCTCTCCAAGGAAAGCTAGAGAAGAAGTCTCTGAGCCCCTCCCAGTCGGCATGTCCGTAATGCCAAGTTTTGCGGCCTGTGCGAGTTTCTGCTGCCACAGCGGCTTCTGACCGAAACCTAACCTCCACAACACCGTGATCTGAGTTACCCAGGGGGGACAGGACAGCAGTGCTGTAAGGGGCAGGATGCGTGGTCAGAAAGAGATCCAGCAGGCTACTGGCGTGTGACGAGACGCGGGGAAAAAAGTAGGGCTCGTCACCAGCTGGGTCAGCCCTTGAGTAAGAGCGAACGCTTCGACTGCACGACCTGCTGCATCGGTCTTATTTGAGCCCAACCAAAGCTCATTATGGGCATTGAAATCACCGAGAAGAACTACCTCTGAAGCGGGGTGATTGATGTTCAGGAAGTCGATCTGGACGGCGAGGTATTCGAGTAGGTCATCCCAGTTATGGTTCGAGGGAGAGCGATAAAGGCAGCAAATAAATTTGGGTGATGTTTTGGAGTTGAGGCGAAGCCACAGAATGTCCTTCCGGTCTGATTCCAAAGAAAGATCCCTGGAGCAGGAAAGACTGCTGCGGACAAAAGCCACAACTCCCCCGTTCTTTCTCAGATTGGAGTGCACCTCGTAGTTTGGGAAGTTGAGATGGTTAATCGGTGCAGTCTCTGAGATTTTTGTCTCCGCCAAGAAAAGCACGGCGGGACGATTGGATTGCAGGTAGTGATGAACAGCATCAATGTTGCTGTTGATCCCGCAGATGTTCGAAAAACAAATTTTATCTTCGATGTTGTTCCCTCGAGCCCACCCTCCACCCGGACATTCCGAGAGTGGAGTGAGTTTACGTCCGGAGTTTTTAGTGCTCGAGGGATCCATCATCATTAATTATATAATTATATTATATTCTATAATAAAAAACTTGCAACAAAACCGCGGTTAAATCCAACGCGTTCAAGCGATTAGTGTAACTGACGTCATCAACCCGTGTGTCATCTTGAACCATATTATAACCGCGGCACATAACACAGAAACTTTGGTTATACGCTTGGATTTGATAATTTGATTTTTGATTCATTTGTATGTAGTTTGGTCGTTTGGTGGTTGCCGCTAGCGGCCTAGTGATTGTGGTTATGTTGATGTGTAATCACATTTATTTTGTTTTCTATTTCATATCAAAAAATTTGTTGTGCCTATGATAATCTTATAAGAATATCTATAATTATTGATGAACTGCAAAACGTAACCGTGTCAGAAATAACATTTACGTGTAAATATGAAACTGGTAGGTAAATAGTGCTTCCAATTCTTCATGCATTATAAAATATTCTTTCAGTACTGTTTAAGTAACGACCCAAACAAACCATGTCATATACTAACATTTCGAGAAGTTACGATGATGTTGGATTGTGGACTTTCAATGCAGTCTTTACTAAACTTTTTACCACTATCTTTCGTGCCTTCAAATAAGCTTATGAATATGGCTAACTGGATGCCCTGTGATACGTCTGATCCTGATCTTGAAGGGGTGAGTAGGTTTAGAATAAATATTTCATCATTCAGAATCAGTTATTACAAAGCTTCTCTTAAAAATTGAGCATTACTACAACTGATTGTATGAGGCAAATCAGTGCATATTGTCAGAAAATAAATATTTACAGGAAGCCACTTGTGCAAGTTCTCAGTGTCTCTAGCAGGCAAAATGTGAAGAATTGCAGCTGACTAAATGAAACTTTGATCACTAGAATTTTGCCTACTATAATAAATATATGTATCTATAGCTCAATGGGTTATCAAAGACTGTAGTGACTATGGTGTTGCCACAATGTCTTATTTTTTTTTTGAGTATACTATTTTTTCCTGACTTGGGATTAAGGCATTAATTAATATATTCCAACCGAAGATACATTATTTAGTTGAAAACTGTTATGCAGAAATGGGCTAATGAACTTGTTGCTTGTTGTGGGATTTTGTATTTTGTTTTGATTCATCCTGAAATTCTGTGAATGCAAAATCTTACATATACTTACAAGGGAGGGGGAGTTCTAAAATAAGCACATCTACATAAGTGTTGACCACCAGCTTTAGATGTTTCATTTGCAACCTCTTGGAGATGCCCTTCTTGGCAGGTTAATGCTATATTTAAGAATAAATTTTTTTTAATAAAAGTGGAGTATGATTTTATTAATTCTAAGGGAATTAGCTTAGGTTAGGCTTCTTGTGAGTGCGTCAATAACAATCTTTCACTGTAACTCTCTGGTCTAATGTGGCTCACACCTATTTATATTTCCCCCAGTAGCTCTGACCTCCTGAGGAAGTCGATCAACTTGTTTGGTTCTGATAATTGCAGGGCGTCTGCACAATACATGCCTGACAGTTTCATCCCCCTGCATGCACAGTCTGCACTCAGCATCTTCCGCTATGCCCAGCTTGCTCATGTGGTGACACAATTTGCAATGACCAGTGTACAGTCCTACTAGAGCTTTGAGGCTCTTCCTATTCAGCCATAGCCCTTCTTTGTCAAGATGGGTATAGTTGCCTTAGCATGGGTTAATCCTGCTAATTGCTCCCAGTATTGATGGATCTTTCTGTCGATCTCTGCAGAGAATATTTGTTTAACTATATTGTATGTGATCCCAACTGCTGGCTCAGGCCCTATGAAGGGTGTGCTAGCCCCACTCTTTGTCAGAGTTTCAGCTGTCTCATTTCCCTCTGGACCTGTGTGACCTGGTATCCATATTTCCCTTCCCTATGCAATTCCACAATAATTTTGATGTTGAGTAGGTGGAGTCAAGTGCTTTAAGTATGGCTTGACTATCCGAAAAAATAATTATAGTTCTGTGCCTCAGTTGTCATTCTGCGATCATTCTGGCACCCAGTTCTATAGCATATAGCTGTGCCTGGAAGATCGATGCCCAGGTTTCTAGGCTAACAGATTTTTTAATCTTTAGTTTTGGCATGAACATACCAGCTGTAACACCTACCTTGGTCTTGGAGCCATCTGTGTATGCATCTATGCTATCTTTCCTTATCAGGTCAATCTGCTGTTCCCACTCATTCCTGTGTGGAATTGTCATTGAGTAGAGCTTAGCATATCTTGGTTATCTTTGGCATTATATCATAAGGCATTCCCAGACTGTGGTGGTTTTATAAGTCCACCAGCATGTCTGTCTTCTCCATAGTGATATTGTCCATTATACCATTTGCAACATGATGTAGTCTATAAGCTGTCTTGCCTGGCCTTCCAGGTATATGTGCAATGGGGTTTAAATTAAGAAGGACCTTCACAGCTGCAGTTGATGTGGTACAAAAGGCACTAGTCATCAACTTTCCAGGTTATGCTCGCAGTTTGGCTTGGGTAGAGTTTCTGCTACAGATCCATAGGTTATCATAGGTCTAATAACCTAAAAAAACATTTGCTGATGCTTCATTTTCCAGTTCTTTCCACACACCCTTTGGCAGTTCCATAGCGAGATCCTTGCCTTCTTAAGGACTGCTTCCAGATGCGAATTCCAGTTTAGTGTTTTATCTAGGATTATTCCTAGATATTTCGCCTCTCTCCAGTTTTCTCTTTCTGGCTAAAGGTATGATGACCATTTTTTGCGAGTTGATTAACATTCCGTCCCCTTCGCATCAATCCGCTATTGCGGTTAACACCTCCTGGAGTGTTCCCGAGATATGTTCCCCAGATTTCCCTGTGACTAGAACGACTAGGGAATTACTCTAATCCTACTTCCCAACATGGTTGTGATGATGAGAATTAAATGAATATCCAAATACATTGGGTTGGGCATCGTGGAAACTATGTTAATCAATGCTTAAAGCTCCTTTATATACATATGAAATATATATAATAATATTTATCATTGTTTATATATAATATATATATATATATATATCCAATATATTTTACAGGAATTGAAGGAAAATGGTGACAGAGTGTTTGTGGACTCCCCTCCAGAGTTTTGCCCTCCATTAGACAAGCTCATTGACTTTTCTCAAGTAGATGTTATCTTAATATCTAACTACCTTTGCATGATGGCACTGCCATTCATCACAGAAGGTACTGGCTTCAAAGGCAGAGTATATGCTACAGAACCTACCTTACAGATTGGAAGGTAAGGATTGTGACAACTATAGATGTAGATTATGTTACCATTCAATTTTAATAAATAGTGGTTCAGATTTATGTAATGGAATTTTAAACTCGATTTTTTTTCATTCAAAAATGCACAGAAAAAGAAATTATGGAGTTATGCACTTTCCACACACGTATGTGTAGACATTTTTTCCTTAAAATTGTCTGGTTTCTGGGTTAACAGACCTGACAGACTTACAAACTGACACTGTGACTCATGAGCTAAGGTCCCATGGACCTCTTTGACAACCAACGATGACTTGACTGCATAAAATGGCAGAGTCGGGAAACTTTTACAATTAGGGTTCATATTGAGATTAAGGGTTTATGGAAATTTTTGGTAGTGAAAATAGTGTCATTAGTAATGTAGTATTCACTGATTTCAGCATTTTTGAGCCTCTCAAAAACATTTTCAACATTATTTGTGGTTTTCTATATTTTTAGGCTTCTGTTAGAGGAACTGGTTATCTACATAGAACAATGTCCAAAATGTAACTTCGCATCTCAGTGGAAAAATTTTGTCCATAAGTGCCCATATCCTCTGAATGAGGCTTTCAAACCAAAATCATGGAAACAAATTTATAATATGAACAACGTAAATGCTAGTCTATCTAGGATTCAAATGGTGGGATATAATGAAAAAATAGTAAGGATGTATCTTTTCTGTGAATATTTCTATTTTACGAATGTTTAATTAGTTTTAGGTCAAATACAGGGCCCGGCATAAGTCAGTTAATCGATTTGCATACCGAACAAAAAGAAAAAACTGTAGACAGAAACATGGTTTATTGTATTGATTACGGTGATAATTCAGTTTTCTAACATGCGACGTAAACTGCGGTCCGATATGCCTAATTGCAGCGATGCACAAACTGCAGATTGATTGGGTGTTTCGACAAACGTTTGAGCAACGAGATATTTTCTTCTGTCACTACCTTGGAGGGGCGACCGCCACGAGGCGCGCCTATCACCGACCCAGTTTCTTGGAACTTCTTGTTTAGTTTGTACACCATCTGCCTAGTCGGAATAGGCCTGTTAGGATACTGCGCTGCAAATTCATTGAAGATTGCCTCGTAATCAGCGTTGTGATGAACAGACAGATCCATTCTTTTAGAGTATTTTACACGGAGCTGGACCGCCATGGCGACTTTCCATTTCTTATAGCACCGATTCGGCCAGGCAAAACAGCGTTGTTGCGCCTGCATTGATTTCGGACAAAGCAGGATAGCGTTAACTGACTTATTCCGGGCCCTGTATATGTGTTTTTTGTTTCTATAGGATATGGGAGCGTCAACTTATAGAGTGGGGGTGAACCCTAGTGTTGAGAATGACTATAGCCATTGTATCAAAAATGTATTCCAAGTTCTGTGCATTCGGCATCCCTCATGTTTGCATCTCTCTCATTCACGTCCATTTGTATATATGAACAGAAGCTCTATGCACACTTCATTTCCAAGAGCCATCTATATCTAGGCTTCATGGTACAACCATTCATCAACATATTCTCCAAGAAGATGCTCAACTCTATGCTGCATTTCAACATTTACAGTCATCTTGCCAAGCAAGATCTCAGTAACTTCCTCAGAAGAAACAACTACCACCATTATAATTTTACAGAAAATTCCTATTCTTATACCTTTCAAAAAATGAACACTGACACCTAAAAATGGTGGTCAATACTTATATAGTTGTAAATATAAGCAGCTTCATGATATATGCTTATTTTCGCGCAGGCATCCCTTTCAGTTAGAATAGATATCTTGACCTCCCCTTGTAACTTTTCTGTATGACCTTTTAGATTAAAAAAATCAAAAGTTATTTGATCCAATATAAGTACTATTGAATACAGCTGTAGTTTCTAAATGTAACATCCTGTATATTTTTATGAAATTGATACTTGCTTCCTTTCTGATTCCAAATATAATACGGTTTGTTATGGTTATCTTGATCTTTAATCAAAAGCTAACATTGTGTATCATTTAACTCTTCAATTCCATGTCAACGTTAATGCAAATTTCTACTGTCTCTTTAACTAAAATAGTTTAAATACATATGGTGAACACAAAAAAGGTTAAAAGTATTAGAACTATCCTCACTTTAGTTTAAGGTGTGTAACCTACAGGTGTTTTAGTAATTGTCTTATGAGTAATTTTTATAGATAAATAATTCGCAAAATCCCCTAAAAGAAGGAAAGTGGACTCGAGCAGAAAATAGGATAGGCAATCTGAGCAATACGTATTGTATACCCGAAATGAATGCACATTAAGCAACTACAAAAGTCGACACACATGCCCATACTTTTTGTAGTTGCGTAGCAATCTTTTCAGGCCTGATGGAACTAGCAAGCATATATATAAATACGTATTGTTCGGGTTACCAATCCTATTTTCTGCTCGAATCCACTTTCCTTCTTTTTGCGGATTTTGCCCATTGTTTTTTCTATTTGTTATACTCGTATACCTCTCTCCGAATGATCCTTTCCTTTATATATATATAAAATTGACATCACATATACCCGGTTACCTCTAAATAGGTTTTAAGTATGTACACATAAGCCCTGTTCGTACAGCTGTCACCAACCTGTCAGTGATCGTGTCCAAGATCCCGCCACACAAATTCCACTTATTCTGCTACGCTATATAAACGGAATTTATGCGGCCGGCACGGGTATCACGTATCTTGGAAAGTGACATTATGTACGTTATTCTACAAGATGTTAACTTAGTACTTAGTTGTACGTGTTGCTTAAACGTCATGAGGCTTGTTATCAATTTTTGGCTCTGATGTGATGTGAAATCTGCTTCTGAGATGGCATTACTGGAGGAATACACTTGAGATTCAAAGCTAGAAATTAGTTGCGCATCCACTTTTTCCTATTCATTCTACATATACAAATTTGCTGAATTTCAAAAATGAGAGAGATAAGAAATAATTATATTCACTGTACACTGTCGAATTACAAGCCATTTACATGCTAACAGTAATTACACACAACGCGGGAGCGGTGATGATTTCCCGTAATTCTCCTCATTTTTTCGTATTTCATAACTTTGAAAGCACAACATAAAAATAACCCGTCGGGTCAATAGATATACTCCATTGGCAGCATATTCAGTAATGATTTTCTCACACAGCAAATATCACTGATTTTATATACATGCAGACCAATACACATAATCACCCAGATGCGATCTTGCTATTCAACTAACTTTCTTTTCAGAGATAAAAACTACAGACTAAGACCACTCGGCCTCATAAAACACCTGCAACCAATAATGCGTGTACTTTAATTGAGTGACTCCTCCATAGATGAACGTTCACAATGATCCTAGTGAGCAAACATAGAACGACTGCTTGCGCCCTAAAAACTACGTAGTTTGCAAGATGACATCTTATAGGTTTTTTGATGTTTTATAGGTTTTTTACATGATACCCGTGCGGATTCCGGCAAGTTACCAACCACTTTACGAACAAGTACTTTTAGCTTATTTAAATCACGCACAAGGACACTATCCTTTTGTGGGTTTTCTTCTTTAATTTATTCACTTGTATATTCACATATTGTACAAATACCGCGAATAAATTATTATTTGTAACATGCCATAAGAAAAAACAATTCTTACAGTCTGGACATTTTCATTACACTTTGTATCGGAAGAAATGACAGCATTTTGGATTACTTCAATAACGTGCTGAATGTATATGACGCATGATTATGGTCAGTTTTCAGTGTTGCGAGAAAATAAAAATGGATGGAGTGACTAATTGGCCATGCAACAATAATAGCATGATAAAAAAATAAAAATATAATTGTGTAAAAAAATAAAATTTTGAAGTTGTGTTACCTACAGGTGACACTGGGAATTCAAGAGTTAATTCTATGCATCTGGCTTTATACCAGATTGCATATGGGGCTAGCTGCCAACTGGTTTAAACTCCGATACACACAATTTAGGTTTTGACCAATCTAATGAAAAACAAGCTTGATAACCATGTACAGTACTTTTTTAACTTTTCTTTGAATGTGTCAATTTAGCAAGCTGTAATTCGGTCGGGTGAAATAGGTCTATACTAAATTTTAATTAAAACAATAACGGTTGATAATCTCGACCTGGCGGCTTTGCGTGACTTTGAACATTTTGTTAAACAATGTTAGGTCATGTCATAACTTATTTTGAAGTTCCCCGTCAGTGCTTTAGAACCGTATAATATGATTGTATCCTTCAAAATGGGCTGGTGAGCTAACAAAGTTGTTTGAAAAGTCACCACAATACACCTACATTAGAATATATAACAAACAGCTAATCTCAGGAATGTCAGTAGCATTGCTAGTTTTGAACGTCAACTACGAAAATTATTAGTTGAAAAATGTTTCTAATCTTTGTCTGAATACCTCGCACTGTGATATCTGGTTTCTTTAAAACTCTTTTATTTGTGGATGTCTGTACGCCTTAAGTTATCCCTCTTAGGGCGAGTCTTATGTCATTTTTTTTATAATCTACATATCTACAAGACAATAAATGTATCTATACAGGGTGTTTCAGAACTAAGGGATCAAACTTCTAGGGGTTATTCAGTGTAACAGTAGAAAACATTTGAGTATAGGGACCCATATCCGGAAAAGTGACACTACGACACTACGGTCCTAAGACGCGTTAAAATTTAGAAAGACGATGAATTGCCTTAATAGCATTTAATACATTTAGTTTTTGCCTTTTGTACATGATATCACAACAATTGCTCAAAATGTCTTCTTCCAACCTGAATACACCGATTTAAACGTCGCACATGATTTCGGCGGACTTGACTAAAAATTTGATACTCGTTTTGAATGATTTCAAATGCTGCTGTAATTCGTCCAATCAAGTCGTGCTTTGTTTCTACTGGAGTTTCGTGAACCAAAGACTTTACATATCCCCACAGGACAAAATCTAGCGTTGTTAAATCGCGTGAGCTAGGAGGCCAAGAAACTGCTCCATCTCTGGCAATCCAACGGTGCCCAAACCGCTGAGCCAAATACTCACGTACTTGTACCGCAAAGTGAGCCGGCGCTCCATCATGCTGAAACAACATTTGCTGTCGAACGTTCAATGGAACATTTTCAAGAAGTTCTGGAAGAACTTCCTCCAAGAAACGCCGGTAAATAGGTACTGTTAACCGTTCCGGTAGAAGATATGGCCCAATCACATAATCATCAACAATGCCTGCCCATACGTTGTCAGACCAAAGTTGCTGATGTTTTCTAGGAAAAATTGCATGGGGATTTACTTTGTCCCAAACGTGACTATTCCTACCATTAATAATAGTCTCTTGTGAAAGAGGCTTCATCGGTCCATAAAACAGCGTAAAAAATTTGATTGTGCAGCGATTTTATGAAGAAGCCATTGACTAAATTGAACTCTAGGCAGTCAATCCTTGAACTTTCTGGAAGTGGTAAGGATAAAGTTGTTGCTCGTGTAGCACCCGCCAGACGGAAGCGTTACTCGTATTCATATCCTCAGCAATGTGACGTGTGCTACTTGATGGTTCGTCGGCAACTCGCTGAAGGACCTCTTCTTCAAATTCGACTGTATATCTATCATTTTTGTACATTGAATCGCTTATAATTCAGCAACTTATAATGGAAACATTACATGTTAAATGAAAATGTTTCTTTTGGAAGGGTCTGTCTGAATGTGGAATAAAATATGGCACAATCCACGTATAAGAAAAATGATTGATGAGTTATATGGGATTCAATGTGCAAAAGCGCTCAAATTTGATAGCCAGTCAGTCCGCCATTTTCACATATATTGATTTCATATTCTGGAATTATAAAGTACTCATAAGGCGCTTCAAAAATGTTATAGTATGGCGCCCAGCCGCCATATTGAGATTATGAACTGCCACCTTCACACTAAATCATTGTATTCATGCATCAGTTTCATGACCCCAAATTTCAGCTTGCTAACTTGATCCATTCAAAACATAAGTAGGGAGGGGACCTTGTTGAAAAGCCCTGTATATTAGGAATCAGAAAAAATATAACTTAATTCGATATCACTTTTTGAAAAACGATTTACAGCGGGACACCCCGAACAAACTTTTTTTAGGATCTCTATGGAGCACTTCAAGTGATACCAGCTAGCTCAGGGTACTGTCTTGGTTCTGCAAATTGGATAATCAGCACAGAACATGAAAAAATCGTATATTTGAGTGGATCTAGCACCTTAACAACACACCCCAGACCAATGGATCATCATGCCTTGAAGAATGCTGATATTCTCATTATGTCAGACTTGACTCAAACCCCTATCAGTAATCCAGACTCAATGTTGGGAGTTTTGTGTGTTGTCGTTGGTAAGTGTAAATTGCTTTTTTTTATGTTGAAATAGCCGTCAAAACAAAGCCGAGTCGAAGACATTTCAAGACAGTTACGTGAATAAATTATAGCGAGAGGAGGAGTTCAAACCAAAATCATGGCCTACACAAAACAGCTAAGACGTTTAACCGCGTGTTGTTATCTGGTCAGAGATACAGGTACATGCGTTGTTTCCAGAATCATTTTGAATGAATTCATGCTCCATCACTTGTAGCAGAAGCCGTGCGTTCAAATTTAGTTTGTCTGCTCATTTATTCATGTTGGGGATATTTGTCACCCACTTGTAGTCTACAAAGTATATTTTTCATCCAAATGTGTAGGCGAGTACGATATATGGTACAAAATATTTATGCAATTTATCAATCAGAGCAATCACAAAAGACGGCCGACATTCTAATATTCTTTTTTTAGAAGCTCAATTAGTTATTAGATCTGGCATTCATATTTTAGCAAATGCGACGGTCGTTAAAATGCGCAGTGAGTCACATATTTTATAATAATAAAAAGGTATAACTACAGAATTACTTTCATCGTTTCATCTCCGCGTTAAAGATTTTCTGTCAACATGTGAAACTTCCACAATATGCTTGTCACTAACAGTATGACACGTTGCTTGTTATGAGAATGCATTTACCTTTCCTCGATTTCGGATATGAAACAAAGCAATGCCCGAAGATACAACTACAATATCGACAGTCTGTTAAATATCTTGGATTCTTTTTTAAAAGTAATGAAAGCAGCGGCCCTCTGCTACACAATTCATGTTTGTGTGCAAGGGCAAGTACCAACCGCGTTAAGGATCGGCTTACACAGGGTGCAATTCCCCATAGGAAGTTAAGCTCCGCAAGTAGTACAGTTACGATGATATATTTACTTATTTTGTATGATATTGTGACGTAACTACCAAAAACCGTGAAAAGAACTGTACAGCATTCAGCTCAGTATGAATGTAGCATTTTCTAGATATTCAGTCATCGGCCATCTATGGGCGAATCACCAAAGCAAGAGCGGTTCTTTAGCAGAATGCCGAGCCACCTGTCAGCGAACCGCCAAACTAAGAGCGGTTTGCTAATAAAGTGTCCTTTCTTGGTATAAATATTCTTTGGGCTATAAAAAAACTTGAAAATATTTTGATGATCCGAGTTCTAAGTTTAGTAGAACTGGGAAAAATGTTTTCTGATGAATTGTTCTATATTCTCCACAAAAGAGTCGAGATACAGTTTGTTAAAGAAAGTGTTAAGAATCAGTCGGATCAACCTGAGATTAAGGTGTCATTTGCGTTTGGTCACAATCTATAGGATTGTCTGAAATTTTTGTATATTCAAAGTATTGTATTGACAAAGATTGAACAAAGTCCGTCATTTGGTTCTTGAAATTATCCATATAATATTTATGAGAAACATGGTATTTTCTCGTATCATTTAAAAAACTGATCATATGAATATTCAGGGGCATTAAATCGTTACCACAACATTTGAAGCACTACCGTTTTTGAGTCATTTAGAATGTGATAAATACCTGGTTTCTGTACTGCTGTTTTTCGATAATATTTCATTTCGTAAAGAGTAATTAGAGAAATGCTGAAGGAACTGGCCTCATGAAAGTAGCGGTATCAATCGTTACTGCAGTATCAGCATGAGTATTGAAATATTTAGCAAGAGACTTGAGAAATCCATAGTTTTTGACATACCGTGTGTTCGAGAATCCAACGTGGTGAGCAATCATTCCACCAACTGTCAAAAAATGTGTTTGTAAATTCATCTTTGTGAATCAAGGTGCGTTCATTTACTGCTCGAAAAGTAATCAGATCCCTCGTCATACATTTGACAGTGATGGAATGGTAACCGTTATGGTAGATTGGCAAATTTGACAGAAATATAACCTAAAATGATCTGATTTTTTTGACTCTTAACTGCTGGAATTTGACAAAGAAAAATGGAAGAATTTGTTGAAATTGAACTGCAATCCCTGGGAGGGATCCATAATCATTAGGGTCGAAGGTGATACTAGTAACGTCGCTCCTTAAATCGTAGGTTTTCCGGTAGTTTATAGTGAAGTGAAAATTGTGAAATCTGCCAGGAGTCGAGTGTATGTGCACTCTTCGTCTCGAATGTAAGATCTCCACTATTGCATGCCAAATATTTGAGTTATTGCTCATTTACTTATACTGATCAGCAATAAGTGTTATTTTCGTACATCACTGGAAAGCAGTAACAAAAACTATTTGCTCGAAAGAAATGGTATGTGTTTTTTAGATCAGTGAAATTAGGTCCATGAATTTGGTGTCATGGCACCTGCTATCGAGATCTGCAAGGTATGTGATGACAACTTTATAGTCAACGCGAAGGCCATCAGCTGCAGTATTTGTGTCACCAAATACCACACGTCCTGCGTTGTTGTCAAGGATAGTTGGCTGAAAATAATTGCTGAATGCGAAAATCTTCTTTGGCTCTGCGATGATCGTCTTTGCTCCATTAATAAAAACAAGATAACCTCGAAGGCCGAAACTACCTTGCTGGAAAAAGAAATTGAGTGTCTTTCTAGAGAACTGAATTTAACTAAAAAGCTAGTATCTGAGTTGGAGTACAGTAATGGGCTACAAAAAGAGGTGCTGAAATCTCATGGAAGCAAGATGGGGACATTTGAGTCTGCTGATTTGCCTCGTCCTAGTACTTTCAGTGATGTTGTGAAAAATTCACCCAAGCCTAAATTGGTCTCTTCTGTGCTTTTGGTGAAAGCAGGAGACGAGCAGGTTGTTGATTCCAAAGATATTCTGCAAGAAGTCACTTCTTCTGTCAAACCTGGTGACCTGAATGTTTGTGTAAATGGTACAAAACTGATCAAAAATGGAGTTGCTGTTCATTGCAAAGACGATGAATCCCTAGCTGCCCTCAAAACTGGTTTGAGTGGTAAATTGGGTTCCAAATATTCCTTTTCTGAAGCTAAAAATCTCAATCCACGGATGTTAATTAAGAACGTAAACCTAAATGGAATCAACACCCCTGAGGATATCTTGGATAGCATCGTTTCCTTAAATAGTTCTCTAAATATTCCTAAACACGATATTAAATACGTAACCAAGCTGAAGCATTTCAACAGCGTTAATGTCGTCGTTGAGGTGACACCAGCCCTTCGTAAATCGCTTCTTCAGGAGAGGTACTTGTTCATTGGGTGGAAGAAGTCAGAAGTCTGTGATCACGTACGTGTTATGAAGTGTTTCAAGTGCTGCGCATTTGGCCATATTAGTAGTAATTGCAAATCTGATTTAGTGTGTTCTAAGTGCACGGGAAGTCATAACATTAAAGATTGTGTATCAAACACGCTAAAGTGCATAAATTGTCTGAACTATAATAAGCGTAATAAAAATAAATTACCCACAGACCATCCCACCAATTTCAGAAATTGTCATACATACATAAACCATGTAAATAATCTCAAAAATATGATTCAATATGACTAATAGTAATAAGGGATTAATGAATGTATGTCATTTAAACGTTCGCTCCTTGCTGCCTTCTTTGGATGATTTTTTTGCAATAACGCGTGATAAATATGATATTATTGCAATTAGTGAATCATGGTTAAACGATTGCATTGATGATGGTGCAGTATCAATGAATGGCTACAGTTTATTCCGGAAAGATCGTGGAGCTAGGGGTGGAGGTGTTGATTTGTATGCTAGGTCATATCTCAATTGTACTTTAGTAGGTACGAACCCTATCGACTCGGGTGCGTTGGAAATACTTTGTTGTCAATTCATTATATCTAGTAGCGGATATCTGATAATGCTCATTTATCGCCCTCCTAATTGCTCTATAAACGATAGCATTACCATTTTGGATAAGCTCCTATCGTTTTTCAGCCCTCAGCACGACAATATCATAGTATTAGGTGATATGAATGTTGATCTGCTCAACCCAAGTAACCCACTTAGTGCATGTTTTGATTGTTACAGCTTTGCGCAGGTCATTGACGAGCCTACTAGGGTAACCCAATTGAGATCTACTCTCATTGATCCAATTTTCGTCAATAACTCAGACATTGTTTCAAAAGCTGGTGTAGTTAATGCAGATATTATTTCTGACCATAAGTTGTTTTTTTGCGAATTCCGTGTTGTAATTAAGATTTATCACCTATAGAGATCTTAAAAACATTGACATAGTCAGCTTTAATACTGATTTAACTCGAATGAATTTGGATAGAATTTTTTATGTCAAAGATATAGAACAAAAAGTATGTATTTTAACGGAATCACTCACTATTTTATTTGATGCCTATGCGCCTGTCAGAGTTGCTCGCGTCAATAAAAGAGCCGCACCCTGGTTAACAGCTACAGTAAAACTTATACTTAAACAGAGGGATACTGCCTTAATAACTTTCAGACGTACTCCCAATCAAGAAAACTGGATTTACTACAAGGAACTAAGAAATTATGCTTTAGCGTCAATAAGGAGGGAAAAAAAGGCTTACCTATCACACATTGATAACTTGAATACGCAGCAAGCTTGGAAAACCATTGAAGATATGAGTATCTGTCGACGGAAAAAAACTGAAATTCCAGATTACCTACTCGAACCAGAGTCTCTGAATGATTACTTTTTATTGAACTCACAGGCTGCTAATATGAACTCGAGGCTAATTGAGTCTACAATTCATAAATATGATAATAGCTCCTTCTGCACTAATGTTCCTTCATTTACTAATCGCTACGTTGACCAGCATGAAGTGCTGGATGTTTTAACTTCTATCAAGTCAGAAACATCGGGTTGTGATGGACTTAGTCGTAAAATGATACATCTCTGCTTACCAGAAATTTTGAATCACATTACTCATATTATAAATGTTTCCTTAGAGACAGGGATTTTCCCAAGCTGCTGGAAGGAAGCTATCGTTTTGCCTTTGGCGAAGATAAACAGCCCCTCTGAGTATTCTCACCTACGGCTCATCAGCATGTTGTGCTTTTTGTCGAAGGTTTTAGAGAAAATTGTCTACATACAGCTGGCCCACTATTTTGAACAAAACAATATGATTCTTCAATATCAGTCTGGTTTCCGTACAGGGCATAGCACAACAACTGCTTTATTAAACCTTACGGATGATATCATCAAAAATGTAGATGATCAGATAGGAACAGCTCTGATTCTGCTAGACTTCTCTAAGGCCTTTGATATGGTACATCATGGTATTCTCTTGAGTAAGCTCAAATTTGATGGTCTTTCTGACAAGCCACTACGTTTCTTCGATTCGTATTTGCGCAGTCGTACCCAGAAGGTGAAAACACGTAAGGGATTTTCATCGGCAAAGAGTGTGGCATCTGGCGTACCTCAAGGCTCTGTGTTGGGACCATTACTCTATTTAGTTTATACTTTTGATCTACATACTTGCCTTCAGCACTGTAATATTCAAACGTATGCAGATGACACGCAGCTAACTCTGTCTTTTGATTCTTCGGACATGCATGAAGCATCATATAAATTGAACTTGGATCTAGTTAACATTGAAGAGTACTGCAAAAGACTGAAGATCAAAATGTTCTACTATGCTATTTGGGCCAAAACAGTTAGTACAACGGTTAGATGGCACAATTGTTCCTAGTCTTAACGAAACCCATATTCCTATAGTAGACCATGCGAAGTATTTAGGGATCACCATGGATTCAGATTTGAGGTTTAAACAACATGTTACGCATTTATCTCGCTTAACATACATGCGTTTGAAGTTATTATACACCAATCGCCATATTCTGAATTTCAAGACTCGCAAAAAGAGACTCTGGTTCTATCGTTAATAAATTATTCAATTGCTTTTTACTTTCCTTGTCTTGATTACGTGACTAGATATCGTGTACAAAAAATTCAAAATAGCTGCTGTAGGTTCGTTTGTGGTCTGCGAAAGTTTAGCCATGTGTCTAAGAAGATCAATGAGCTTAGATGGTTGAGGGTTGACCAGCTTTTCACATATAACTTACTAATTTTAGTACAACGAATAAAAATCCACGTGGGGATCTCAATTACAAGAATCTGAGACATAACTCTGACTTCCATATACCTAGTTATAGGAGCAACATTTTCCATCGTAGCTTCACCTACAACGCTGTCAAGGTGTATAATAGTGTTAATGACAATTACAAAAAGATGGGAATACTTGCATTCAAGAGAGCCCTTAAGAACCACCTTCTCGGGTCTGCTAGCCAAGCTGGCTGATATATTTTTTTTTTTGTCTTTATTGTTTTTTTTTTGTTAGAGCGGGCTATGTGGAATAGATGTACAACATATTAAGATTAATCTATTTGAGCTTAATTGTTGTATATATTATTTAGTCGGTTGCTATTCAATGTTATGTTTTTCCTTTTGTATGTGTTCCTGCGCTGTGAGGTTAAGTGGTAGAGTAGCCAGCTGGCTAAACTTCGCCTCGCAGTGTGGAGGGATTAATAAAGACATTATCATTATTATTATTATTATTATTAACAAAAAGATAAATATTTTAAAACGTACGTTCCACTGGAGCGATATAACTGGGATAACCTTTTCAAGTACGAGTACATATGTTACATGTTTATAGAAGATAAAATCAATATTATATGAATATTTAACACCGCTTTAGGTGATTTCATTCATTTCTAAGACCTGCATCAAAACTAGCAAGCTTGTCTCTTTTTCTACAGCTCGGCAGAAACGCCAAAATTCAAAAATATATAGCTTATAGTGAGGTATATGTCACAGTTCCATTTCGCTGTTCGGAAATTGTTCATGAACAGAAAAGTCACTGCTGGACATAAGCCAAAAGCTTGTGATGTCACCACAATCAAGAAGTTGAATTTGCGAACACACGGATACTCGTATTGGAATCTGAGCGCAGTCCGTGTTTTATAGCAGTAGCAGTAAGGGGTGGTATGTGTGGTTGTTCAGCGGGCGGTAGAGGAGAAATTTTATCTCCAACTGTTGTGCTGGCGACACCTTCAGTGTTCTGTTACCATTGTAATATTTTCTCTACTTCCAATAAAGTTATAGGTTTCAGACACATGATTTTAAGGCTGAATATGATATGTTTGCTTTCCGTCTCTGCTACCGTAACCAACCTTATACAACGTTATTTCGTGCTTTCTAACAATCATCACTATGATATGATATAACAACGTGTCTAGGCGACACTAACTTGTCCGTTTCAACGAGGCGGACAGTCGTTCAAAGATGCCGCGAGCATGGATTTATTCTGTCTACTAAAACAAAAAAAAACAACTTTTCCGTTGCAGGTCTAACATTGAGAGGAGGGGGCAATGTTCTGATCCCATGCTACCCTACGGGAGTAGTGTACGACCTTTTCGAATGCTTGTCGGGCAAAATGCAAGAGTCAGGCGTGGCAAATTGTCCGATGTTCTTCATATCACCGGTGGCGGACATGTCACTGGCATATTCTAACATTCTGGCAGAGTGGCTGTCATCTGTCAAACAGAACAAGGTGTATGCGCCTGAGGAACCCTTCCCGCATGCACTGCTCGTGAAGAACAACAAGTTGAAGCATTTCAAGCATATTTACTCGGAGGGATTCAGTACGGATTTTCAAGAAGTAAGCAATTATTCACCTAAGATATACTATTTTACACTCCTACGAGGGATATGTCTTTTAAGTTTTGCATATGGAAATAAAACAACACGGTAGGTAGTTTTAAATGACTTTATTGTTTTTTGTATTCTCCACGAACATTAATACACATCTGCATGCGCTCGAACCAATTTTCGAAGCACTCATTCCACTCGTTTGCTGGCAGATCCAAAACGGCATTTTTGAATGCGTCAACTGCTTCTTCTGGTGACTGGAACCTTTGACCACGCAATCTGTTTTTAATTTTCGGGAAAGTAAACAAATCGTTAGGACTTAGATCGGGACTATATGGAGGATGGTCCAATAATTCCACGTTTTCTTCCGTTAAATACTGCCTAGTTTTTTGGGCTGTATGCGAGCTTGCATTGTCTTGGTGGAGGATGATTCTTCTTTCGGGGTTGATTTTTGGCAAACAAATAGTGGTATACCAATCCGCAGTAACAGTTCTTTGCTCGTTAAGAGGAATTGTTGCAATATGACCCGCTCTTGACACAAATGTCGCGACCATCTTTTTCGAAACACTTCGAGAACGGATGACTTTTGTTGGCTTTTCTTCACCTTGGAACACCCAAACAGCCGACTGTCGTTCATTTTCTGGTTCATAACAGTAAATCCACGATTCATCACCACTAGCAATGCTGTACACATTTTTTGAGTCAAACTGTCAAACGTTTTTTGACACCAATTAACCCTGGCTGCTTTCTGCTTTTCAGTCAACAGGTGGTGTATCCAACAGCATCGACTTTTTCCTGGGATCGTCGCTAAGACTCACCCGTCCACGTTTGAATTCTCCAAACCAACGGGAAATTGTCGACTGATGTAGCGCTTCGTTTCCGAAAACAGACAGTAACTCAGCAAGGCATTCTTGTTGCAATAACTGTCTCTGAAAGTTGTAATAAGTTATGGCGCGAAAATGTTTCTCGGTTGAGTTTTCTAATGACTTGGTGACACTTAAAAATTCACTGTAGTGAGAACACTGCACGTATTGTTGTGAGACTTTGAATTTAAGTTTACTAAAGAGTGAGGTTAAGATTCAGCACTGACGTTCGATCCGCGCGGCCTACTATGTTTCTATATGCAAAACTTAAAAGACATCCTCGTACTTATTCGCGTGATAAATATTGTGCTACTAAGACGAGGCAAAAACTTCGCATTCGTGGAAGAAATTTCCGACTTGATTTTTTTTAACCTATTGATTTTGTTCGCTTTTGATTTTTAATTGTTTTTAATCTTGAAATTTCGTTTGTGTATGCAAGTTTTAGACTTATAATGATAATGATGATGCATATGGTGTATTGTCTCAGGGGCACAATCATGCTTAATGAAAAAGCTAACCTACAACTAAACTATAATATAATTAGATAAGTGGATCTTAAGTAGGTGAAATGTAGAACTCTCTCAATGTATAATATTGTTTATTTGTTAAAAAGTTTTTTAGTTCACGGCAGAATTTCTTTAAATTGTTAATTTCTTTGATAGCATCAGGGAGACATATGTAAATCTTGAGACCATTATAAATTATTGAATCTTGCACCAATGATAGATCTCATTATACCAAACAAAAGACTTCAGGTCAACTTTTATTTTACGGCTTCCTTACTAAGATGGTGTTATCTTTTAGCCTTGCGTGGTATTTTGTGGCCATCCTAGCTTGAGATTCGGTGATGTCGTTCAATTTATAGAACTTTGGGGTAATAATCCAAGGAATTGCATTGTATTCACAGGTAATTATTTAATTATTAATGAAATTCAATTACAATTTCAATTTATACGATTTTTGCAGAACCAGATTACGACTACATTGAAGCCTTAGCGCCGTACCAACCTCTGCAAATCAAAGTGGCTCATTGTGCCATCGACACATCTTTGAATTTCACACAGGCGAACAAACTGATTCGCGATCTGAAGCCGAAAACTCTAGTCGTGCCGGAATGTTATACACAACCGCCGGTCGCTAATCCGAATTTAACAGAATTGGTGATTGGAAATCATCCTGATAGCACGCTTATACCATATAAATGGGGAGAGGTATGTAATTTGATTAGAGCTGGTTTAGAGTCCACAGTTTCCGAAATCTGGGTTTCGGCCTTAGACTCGACCGAAATTGAATGTAATAATCACAAAATTGAAGTTAGAAGTAGAAAAACATATTGGACACAGTCATAAAGTGAGTGTTGGGCATAGGAAATTACCAATGCTTAAAGTAGTCGGCTTCAGTGAGGAATTCGAAAAAGAACTGATTAGAGACTTGAAAGAAAGAAACAATATTATTAGCAGTGATTCGATGATAAAGGTAGTGGCAATTAAAAAAGTGAAACACAGATATCAGGCAATTCTGGAATTATATAAGCAAACATTTAAAATAATTATGAAAGAAGGTTTACTGTTTGTATCAATGGATGTGTGTACAGTGTTCAAGCATTATGATCTCCTGAGAAGCTTTAACTGCTCACGATTCTACCATACAGCTAAAAACTGTACAAAGAAAAGTGTTGAGAGAAAATTTGGTGAGAGTGATGGCCATCAGTCTCAAACCTGTGAAACACCAAAAAAATGAGGTGAATTGTCCGAACTGCAAGGAATCAAATCTGAGGTATAATACAAATTTTGACTTAAACCACTCACCGTTCAACAGAACATGGACACAGATCATAGTCAACTATATATACACTTTAAACATTCAATGGTTTTTGTCACATAAAGATTCGGTTTTAAATTTGTTGGTGTTAGAGAAACCATTAATACTTTGTTTAACAGAAACACATATAATAGAAGATATTGATGAGGGAGAGATCGATATTCACGGCTATCATGTTGTAAGAGTACACTCTATAAAGTGATGAAACTGTCGCCAACTACAGAAAATATTGACTGCTGCAACCAATGTAAAAATAAATTTATAGAGCTTGCAAGGCAAACATAACGAAAAAATTACCTAAATAAATTAAATAACAACTCGAATGATCCTAGACGGCTTTGTACAACTATTGATGAGATTACTGGAAAAAAAATTTAAAGGGTGTGTCACTGAGTTAAAGACAACTTCGGGAACAGTAATCAAAAATACTCAACAAATATGTAATGAATTTGTAGAATGTTTTACTGATATACGTGAGAACTTAGCAAGTAATATACAAGAAAATTTGCCCAATACTCAGCTTCCAAAAAGATCTTTGAACTAATTTATTTTGAATAAAGTAGAGCATTGTGATTTCCTGTTATGTCCTTAAAAAATCGAAAGTCCTGGGCTCGACGGTATTAGAAGCGAGCATTTGAAAATCATAGCCAAGGACATTACATAACCACTTACTTACCTAATCAACAAATGCTTTGAATCCGTCATATATCTCTCAATTTAAAAAAAAGGTAATATAATACCGACTGGTCTGGTGGAAAGAATGTAATTGAAAATGATTTTGTCAAAATCGGTGTTTTAATAGTAGAAAATGAAGCATACCAGTCTAAAACACATTTTTACCATTTGCATCTTATGCTAGACATCTTTTTTTTTTTTTTTTTTTTTATACTCCAACTACCACGAAGGCCTAAGGCCTAAGCACCCATCGGGTACCGTGGGGCTATGGGGGATACATGGGAAAGGGGGGACGCCACACGGACTCTGGCGAGGGAACACGTGTGCATGCAGCATGCACACATTCTGGCTCCGCCTACGAGAACCGCCGGGTGGTACCTCCGCGTTCGACAGTCAGAGACCATCTACCACCTACGGACAATCACAACATCCATGGCCAAGAGAAACATTTCTCCAGGGACAGGACTCGAACCCGCACAGCGCACGGCGGCTGATCAGGAGACCGAAGAGTCTACTACTGCGGCCACCGCTGCTGCCTAAAACAAACACACAACATCCATGGCGAAGGCGAGATTCGAACTCGCGGCCCGGCCGGCCGGCTGATCAGTAGCACGACACTCTGACCTACGCGGCCAACCGAGGTCCTTAATTACACAAATTTCTCCTTCAACATTAATGATAAAAAAATTCAAATTAATAGAGTGCCCAACATAAAATACCCTGGAATGGTCTTGGATCCGCACGTACGTTGGGACATCCATATATATAGCACATATTATAAGCATTTGATCATTGCTTTAGAACTGTTAAATAATGATATCAAAACAAATTTGAATTTGTTAGTTCGGCTCACGGTTTTTACCTAAAAAAATACTCATATTAACGATATTGTTACCATCATGCAGAGAAACATGTACAATATGTTAAGTCCGTATCCTAATTTACTCTAAAGTTATAATGTTCTCCTATGTTGAAATCACAAATTCAACACCATGCATCTCGGTAAGGTGGCATTTTGGGACCCAAGCAGATCATACATCTAAACGCTACTAACTGTCCCACATTTTGGAAATAATTAATGTCTTGCAGCCCTGAGATAGGCTAACAGAATCGCATGGCAAGTTACAGTCTACTTGATGCTATTTTTTGGACATAGGCTATATTTAGAAGTATTTTAAGTCTCATTTTTTCTAGGTTATAAATTTACCTTTGAAGAGGAAGCAAGGTCAGGTCCTGATAGAAACGAATGTTGCTCAAAAAATCGTTCCAGTTGAAGTAAAACCTGGCATAAGCCTGTCCACGGTCACAGGCTCTTTGAATGTCAAAGACAACATACATAAGATACAAGTAAAACTTATATTACTCTATTTTGTTACACGTTTAATTAATCCTTAATTTTTATTCAGGAGTTATCTGACATAAAGAGCAAGCCAGTAAAATACGAATGGGGTACGCTAAACATAACAGAATTTCTACAGAAGCTATCTCAAGAAGGTATCACAGATGCTAAGGTGGAGTCTTTAGGAGGAAACGTTGTTGTTATTCATTTGGTAAGTAAAATGATATACTTTTGTAATTACCTTTTAAAAACGACATTACAGATCGAAAACCATTATTTCCTAGAAGACATTTCTGACTATCAGAGGCGGTCTGATAAACGTACCAAACAAATGCATGAAATGTGTCCGAGCTGCAAGCTGAACTGATCTGGTCCACTGTAAATGACCGTGTTGAACTATCAGAAATTCATTGATGGAAATAACCAAATAATTAAATTGCTACATAATTGGTTCTTTCTAACAAGGAATTTCTGGCTATCAGAAACTGTTAAATATAGTCACCCTTACAAATTAATGTAACCTAGTGAGGCACTGAACTGACCTATTCCACTGGAAATGACTATCAGGAATTGTTTGAAATAACTGATTATTTTACAGTAACTACATTGTGTTCTTAAAGTTGGGAGTACTAAATGTCTCACGTTTTTTAACATCCAAGCGTATCCTTAAAAAACAAATTTCTTCGTCACCTGCATAAATTATTTTCGAGGATAAATTGCATCTGTCTGCCTGGAGAAGGACCTGTGCGGAAGATACTCGCATTTTTATCTACTGGGATAAAGGAAATTGACACTGATCTGACGTTAGTCACAAATTTCACCTGATATTAGCCTAAAAATTCTACAGATTAGTAATGTGAAAGAAGCCAAAAACCCAGCAAAAGAAGTAATGGATGAAGGCGAATATTTAAAGAAAATCAATGAACAGTTAAAAAATGAAGTGAATGTATCAAAACTTACTCTCAGAAAAAGAAGCACGTATATATCAGCTGAAAAACAGAAGATTCCAAGAGCACCATGACCTAATACAAACTCATATTGTCGAAAACGATTCTGTTCTTGAAGAGCTACGAAAACTGAATTTTAGAATGGATCAAAATAAATAACAAAGTTGTCAAAGAATATTTCATATGCTCAAGCTGACCTAAGCAATTCATGTACCACACGTAGAGAAGAGCAACTTAAGAGCAACATCGGTCTAAATTGAACATAAATGTTAAGGAAGTCACTGCTCAAAAAACAGTGGGGTACACATAAATTTGGAAGAATGCTCCAATGCTAAATTGAAAGAGGAGATTGAGAAAAGATTGCCGCCAGCATACAGGGTAAGCGAGCCGAATATGTTGAAACCACGAATTAAAATTGTTGGGCTTCGCTGCTCCAAAAATGTCTTCGAAAACGAATTAGAGGATGACATCATCCGGCAAAATTATGGCTTAACCATGTCTCTCGGTGCACTAATTGCTATAGATTCAATCATTCCAAAAATAAGTGTGGAAATCATAAAGTTTGCAGTTTTTGAAATCGAACATCGACAACCGTATTCATATTATGGACAGGATGGTACTTGAAATTTCTTCAGTTCTGTCTCCAAGTATTTGTTCACTTTTTTGCTGCTATTTTATCGTATTTGTCATTCCAAGCACAGCTCCTGAGACGTATCAACTTTCAGAACTTCCTGTATACGAAACCGCTTGGGGGCACAATGGATCTCTTGTCTAGTACATGAAGAACGGGGCATTTAAAATGCGCAGTGGAACAGTATTGGCAGGTGCTGTGCGCTATTGAGTTACTCCGAGACAACGAATTCAAATAGGTTAGAACCCAAGCGTATGTGTTTACAAAGAAGTGTTTATCGCAAAAAGGTTTATGGCATACTTTTGGATAGATATGCTTCCCAAAATGACGAACCCACGCGACGGCGGATACTCTTTACTTTATTCAAGTAGCTAATGGTATTGGGTGTACTCTCGTACATGAGGACAACGTACTATCTCTCAAGTACTATCTATATTGCAATGTAGATCGTGTTAGCCGATAAATTACACAAGGCGAAGAAACTACAGTAAACATTTATCAACAGCTCAATTCGTAATTTTGCAAACCGCAGCAACGTTGGAATGCCTGACATTGAAAATGGTAGTGCTTCTTTTGCTTGAGCTTGAACTTCACTCCGTTTTTCGAAGATCCTTGGCTAAAAGCAAACACCTTGTTAAGCATTATACAGGGTGACTTTGAAGTTGAGTCATTAATTTTCAGATAATGATTGTAGAAGGAAGATAAACCAAAATATGTGTGTAAAAATAAAAAAAAAATGTTACCTTGTTTAATAAAGTATCCTCCCGACAAGTATTTCAGTGCGGACCTGTATTTGATCGTGCGGTCTTGGAGCACCGGCATACCCTCCTCTGTGAGGTCTTAAGTCACCTGATTCACGAGCCCTTTGTACTACATTAACAAAGGCACGAGGGGTTGGTTGCACTCGATTGGGAAACCGATTCGCATAAATCCGTGATGCATCCGGCAGCATTTTGTAAAGACTGCCCCCCCGTAAATAAGAATCATGTCCACAAGTTCAGCATTTTCGTAAACATGTGCCATTTTTCATTTCGTTTGAGTCACGCAACAAACATCACTATTCACCCACGCGTTACCGACTGACGAAAAACAACGTGATAAACGTTTCAAATTCTTTCGCTTTTTTGTTTCCGATGCGATGAACCGATATCCGTTGTTGCCAAACACATAATATTATTATTGAGACAGGGCGGTACTCAAACTTCTAAAGGGCTATAACTTTGTTACTTTAATTTTACCAGAAAAATGTTAAAGGAAAAAAACATTTCTTTTGATCAGATCTACTCACTGTTAAAATAAATGATTCAACTTCGAAGTCACCCTGTATAGTAATTTCAGTTGTAATATCATTGTCATTATATATACAGGGTGGCCCATCCATGTGTGGACGGAATATTACTAATGAACAAATACATTTTGGGAAAATCTATTCACGGGATACATGATATTTGAGGGCACAATTCTAAAATATTGGCCATTATACAGGGTGTCCCAATTTCGACCTACATATCAAAGTTGTGAATTTTCAGAAGCAATGACTAAAATTTTATTGCATATTTGAATTAACCAATTCTAAAGAAGAAAATTGATATAACATACTATGGGGTTTTGGTAATTAGCTACTGAGATATAAGGAGTTTTTTCTAGCAAAACCCCCCACTTTGACAACCCTCCAGTCCGCCATTTTGAAATTTGGAGTGCTGACTTTTGTATCAAAAAAAACTTACACACCTCACCTTTTTCGAATTTTAATTTTTGTTCATACAGGGTGGTCAAAAACGCAAATTGTAGCTTTTCTCAAAAATTTCAAATGCAGCACCCTGTATATTTGTGCAAGTTTGGATTCAATTTGTTATCAGTTTTTTTTTTGTTACTAGACACAAGGGTTTTTACGTCTTTTAGGGAACGGCTTAATTCCCTAAAATATCGCCTCATCCTTGGAAACAAATAAATTGTTGATTAGTTACAAACTTCAAAATTAGCTTTGTGAGCATTATAATAAAAAAGTGTTTGGAAATGAATTTTTCTAAAGAAGAAATGGTGAATATGGTCTTCGTTTTGGGCAAAGTCCAAATAAATAGTTTCCTAGCATCTCGCATTTATAAGCAACGGTACCCTAATATGCGACATCCAAGGCCGGAAATATTTTCCACACTACGAGAATGTTTCGAATCAAGTGGAGCAGTGGAATATAGTAAAAAATGTATAAATAATCCAAGTGTCACCAATGAGACGAATCAGTTGGAGGTTCTATTAAAGTTGCAGGAAAATTCCCATTTAAGTGCACGGCATATTGGAGCAGACACTTATATATGCAGAATTTCTGGATTATTCACAAGCATGGGTACCATCCATATCACCTATGCTTGCATCAAGGCCTTCATCCTCAGGATTTCGCAGCTCGAATGGAGTTTAGTAGAATAATGCTAAATAAAGTTAGTGAAGACACTACTTTCCTGGATAAAGTTCTTTTTAGCGATTAGGCAACTTTTAACACCATAGATGTTATCCACAGGCATAACATGCACTATTATGTGTCGGAAAATCCTTACTGGGTTAGGCAAATAGATCTCCAAAATAAATGGAGCTTGAATGTTTGGGGAGGAGTTATTGGCAGACAAGTTATCGGGCCTTTCTTGTTCGACAACAGATTAACAGGTACAGAATGCTTGAATTTTTTGATCGAGCATTTGCCTTTGCTTTTGGAGGATGTCAACCTGCAAACTCGGATGCATATGTACTTCCAACATGACGGCGCCCCTGCGCTTTATCATAATCGTGTGCGTAACTGTTTGGACACCTGGAGTAACAATCGTTGGATCGGTCGTGATGGGCCTATATCTTGGCCTCCTAGATCACCAGGTATGACACCGCTGGACTTCTTTCTATGGAGCTACGTTAAGCAAGAGGTTTATAGATATCCACCATCCACCCCGTAAAATATGAAGGAAAGGATTCAGGATGCTTTTCTGAACGTAACATGCTGAGGGATGTGCAACGGTCATCCAAAGACTACGGCTGTGTATTAAAGATGGTGGAGATATTTTCGAGCAGTTTTTGTAGATTAGGTCTCGAGTAGTGATAGTTGTTTGTTTATGTTGTTGTTATAGTTGTTTTTCTCTATTGCGCGTGAAGCTGATTTATACTGTTCTGATTGTTATTAGTATTTACGTCAAATCTGTACTCTTAGTGGCAATATGGAACTAGCCCACTGTTTGTCTTTTTTTCCGTGGATGATCTGATTTTTTTCTTTAATTTTGGAGTTTGCGAAATAATTGTAAAGTCTGATTTTATTGCTGCAAGTTGTTCAAGGGGGTATTTAAAACATGAACGCATAAAATGGGTACATCAATTTTTGCGGGAAAACTTTTTATTCGACAACAAAGACTGAGAACACGTATTTTTTTTTTTGGATTCAATCGAAAATGTTGGTAGGAACGAAAAAACTCTTCAAATAAGATTTTTAGGTATTTATGAGACCTACAGAATAAGATCACCCGTAAAAAGATCCGACTAATAGCAAAAGTGTTATGGCCGAAAACCGAGGCAAAATGCAGGTTTTGTCACTTGTTGCTAATGCGACGATACTTTCACGCAGATACTTGAAATTCTTTAAATTCGTAGGATTCATAC